AAGAGAAGTTAACCTATGCATTTGTTAGGGAGATTTACATACATGCCACCCGATTCATATGTATTTACATATCTATTATCTAAATTTTATTTCTTACACTAGTACCACATCATCTAACCTGAATAAAAAGGTGTTTTTCACATTTTAAAAGTAAAAAATAGTAATATTTTTTATATGAAATAAGATATATGTGCCAGGCTTGAAGTCATGGCCTTAGTATTGAAGACTAAACACTAGGTGTATTGCATTTACACTCATGCCACTATAAAACACATACACCAAGTAGAGTATGCATATATCAATCATGATAATACATGCATTATTAACTTAATTAACCTTTAAATCAACAGGGTTGAGAGAGTTAAGCGTGGATTCGGCATGCGAGTTCCTGGAGCTAATTCCTGAATTGATTACGCACCGAAAAGCTTCCATCCTGCTTCGTCTCCTGGAACAACTGGTAAACATCCACCACTGCAGATTTCTTCAGTTTCTGTTTCATATATTAGAGAGTTTAGTTTAAATATATTAGCTTCTGGTATGCTAGTTTGTTCATTCTACAGTGGCCTCATGTCTAAGAATTTTTTTTTTGGTCATTTTATGTTTGATTTGTTGCAGGACTGTAACAATGTTCTTTGCCTGTATTTCATCTTTTATCAGTATATCTTGTGGTTTATTCATATGTTCATGGGTGATAATGTGGCATGCTGAGAAGATTTAAACTGCTCCTGTGTTGAATCAGGCTTAGAATGTTTGTATGTTAAGGGCCCTTTTGATTGTTTTTTTTTAAATAGAACATAATGTTCAGTTAAATTTGATGTTTATTTCTATAATACCAAAGTCTTTAACCTCCCGTCAAAAAAATATTATTAATATTAATGTTTTCAAAGTAAAATATATCTTTTTATGTATATTTTTTGATGTCATTAAGTAAATATCGATGTTTAAGTGGTAGATGTGTAAGAATTGTGTGGCAATTGCATGTTTTCTTTAGCTTGTTTTATTGAATTAATGAATCAAACATTTTGTTTGCGTTGGGCTTGTTTAGTTTATAGGGCTGAAACTGAGATGTTCAATAATGCAGTTGTGTAGTTGTGTATAGAAAGAACACAAATTTTAACTAAAACTAAAGAATTTGAAAAAAGTAAAAGAATAAAATGAATTATTATGTGGTTTCAATACCATCCATGTAAATATTCAATATAACATTTTAACAATTTAAATTTTATATTTAATATTTGAACAATCCAAAATTTTAAATATAACATTCTGGAAATACTAAATTTTTGCCCGAGTAATGGAGGGTGGTTGTAATGAAAAGGTGGTTAAAATGTAATATTTATATTTTATGTGATTAAAAGATTAAGTGAAATATTTTGGTTGATTGATATGTAGAAATTCAATTATTTAATATTCTCCACTAAGCAAAGCAATGCTTGCCATAGAGTTGTTGAGTAAAACTCTTGGGGAGAATTCCTTTCCAAATTCACCCAGGCTTACTCAATTAGAAATTTGAACTATACCATTGAATAAGATTTCGTAGATTTGAGAAACCTGAATAAATTTATGAACAGAAGCATAACAAAAACAAACTAGAAAAGAACAAGAGAATTTAATGCGGAAAACCTGAGAAGGGAAAAAATCAAATCACAAAGGCACACAATCAGAAAAATTTCACTATGAAAATCAAAGATTTTATATAGAACACACTCAATTTCCTCTCCTCTCTAAAAGAAACTTACAAGACCTCGCTCCAAACTCTTGCTTCTTAGATTCGAAGTGGGAAATACACTTCAAAATCACAAAAATCCTCCTCTTTGACATTTCTCACTTTCACCGGCATTTTTGTCGAAGAACCCTCGTATAAGAAGTAAGTTTACGCCACTTAAAGTTGGCTCTTAAAAGGAATTTTTGAACCAAATGCGCCTGGACTTGGGCGTGAGAGCGCCTTGCTCTATAGACAAGAGAACTAACCGCACATAAGTGGGCACATAGGTGCCCATAGGCCGGCGTTTAAGTGTCGGATGTTCTGTTTAACGCCCAAAGTGGGCGCTTGATCACCAACAACTCGGCGAAAAACCATGTTAGGCACTCGGCCAAATGTGGGTGTGTCGGCTTCACACACCCAACAATCTCTCATTTGGAGACGATAGCACCAAACACCAGTCCTTTGTATCTACACCTCTATTTGAATCACTTTCGTAGCGTGGTGTGGCTCACCCCTCGTCTCAACCTTCAAAAAATCCAAATGAAGCAAAACATGACTTTAGTTTCTCAACAATCACCTCCTTCGTCAACATGTTCACAGGATTCTGAGATATGCGTATCAACTCCTAGAACAAATGTTCGTCGTCAAGGAGAGAGCGAATAAATTGATACATTAGCTGAATGTGTTTCGTCTTGGCATGACAAACTACATTCTTAGCAAGATTAATCACACTCATAATATCACTTTGAAGCTTTTTGATCACTTGCTCCTTTCCCAATTCTGCCATGAAACTTTGTAACCAAATTAACTCTTTGCTAGTCTCAATGATAGAAATATATTCGGGCTCTGTAGTTGAAAGCGCAACGATCTTCTGCAATCTGGAAATTCAACTCATCGTCATGTTCGCCAATGTATAGAGGTACCTCATTGTATTTCTACTACTATCTATATCTCCTATCTAATATGAATCTACAAATCTCTGTAGAGTGATCCCCACACTTTCATAACAAAGTGCCCTATTGATTGTCCCACTCAAATACGTGAGAATCCACTTCGCCGCCTTTCAATGAAGCTTGCGCGGATTACTCTTGTATCTACTGACCACTCCCATTGCATATGCAATATCTGGTTTGGTACAATTCATCGCGTACATCAAACTTCCAACTGCTGAAGCATACAAAGTTCTTTCTGTCTATGATTGCTCTGCTTCAGAGTTAGGCGATAACCCATAGATAGTTTAAAGTGACTACATAAGAGGGTGCAATTTGGTTTTCCTTTTTCTATATTGAACCTTTGTAGAATCTTTTCAACATACTCTGTCTGAGATAACTTCAGTGTCCCTACACATGTTCTTGTTGATTCTCATCATGAGAATCTTTCTGGTTGGTCCCAAGTCCTTAATTTCAAACTCACTTGATAATTATTTCTTCAAGTCATTGTTTTCTTCGTATATGCCCCTGTAGCAGCATGTCATCTACAATCAAAATAAGCAAGATATAACAATTACTAAAGTGTGAGGAAGCAATATTGATCTGCCTAACACTTCATGTACCACAGACTGACCTAATTTTGTCAAACCTTCTGTACCACTATGTGGGGGCCTATTTCAAGCCATAAATGCTCTCATTCACTCCTCCAGATCTCCATGTAAAAAAAGTTGTTTTTATATTCATTTGTCTTAGAAGTAGATCTTCCTTTGCTACCAGACTCAATACAATCCTGATAATACTCATCTTCACCACTGGGGAGAACATTTTTGCGTAATCCACTTTTTGCTTCTGCTGGAAACCCTTCACAAGTTTTGCCTTGTAGCACTTGCTACCTTCTGACTCTATTTCATCATGTAGACCTACTTATTGTGTAGTTATCTTTTGTCATATGGTAATACCGTCAAATTTAAAGTCTAATTTAACTCCAAAGATTGCATTTCCTGATCCATGACACGCTCTCATTATCTTGAATCTTCAACTTGAGTGGCCTCCTCAAAGCACTCTGGTTCATCACTATCAATAAGTAACAAATAGTGCAATGAAGGAGAATTCATGTATATTGGTTGTATCACCTTGCTAGAACTTTTGACTTTTGTAGCAGTTGACTAAAGAACTTTTAATGTTCCTTCTAGCAGAGCGCTAATTTTTTCTCCATTCTCTTGATCATCAGTATCTTCTATCTCAACTTACTTGGACTCTTCATGAGTAGATCCCATTCTTGCATGTCTCCATTTTATTGAAAGTGACATTCATGCTCATGATGAATTTCTGATTTTGATAATCCCAGTACTTATATCCAAACTTATTTGAGTCATATCCAATGAAAGTGCATTTGACAGATTTCGATTCAAGCTTTCTCCTGGAACCTGCATCAATATGCACATATGCAAAACACCAAAATACTCTTAAATGAAATTGATTTACCTTTTTTTATCACTCCAAGCTTCTTTAGGTAAGTCTTTTTCCAATGGTACTGACGGACCACGATTAATTAGATAAACTCCAGTATTTATTGCTTAGCCTCTTGCTCCTAGCACGCTACGTGATTATTTTTGTTCATGCGCTCAGCCATACCATTCTGCGGTGGTGTTCTTGAGGTTGCGAACTCGTGTCTGGCACCCTTTTTAGCACAGAAATTCTTGAACTTTTGATCACGATACTTGCCCCAATTATTTAATCTAAGACACTTCAACTTCAAGTCTGTCTCATTTTTTACCATAGCCTTCCACGTCTTAAAGATTTCAAAAACTTCATATTTTTTGCTTTAAAAAATAAACTCATACTTTTTTTCTGTGATCATTAGTAAATGTGACAAAATAACGAAAACCTCCAATGGACTGAATTTGAGTATGTTCACATATATTAGTATGCACTAACTCCTATTTCTTTGATTTCATCTTTGGCTCACCCTTAGAGAAAGATGCTTTCTTATGCTTGTCATATTACACAGTCTTCACACAAATTCAGATCAACTGACTTCAATCCCCAAATTTTTTTTTATAAATTAAGATCTCCTTATCTTTCTCACCCATATGACCAAGCTTACGGTGTCACGGGCTTGCATCCACTCTGGTTCCAGTCGCATCAATTAAATCAGTCATTTCATTGATCAGGTAAATGTGCTTTCATAATTGCTCGAGCTATCCCCAATGCCCCTAGGTCACCTTCCATGAATCACCTATAAAGTAGGCATGAGTTGTGATTTTGTCAGCTGGCTCATAGAAATAGGATTTTTCTTCAGACTTAAAACATGCCTAACTTCAGTAAGCTTCTATAATGTTTCATTTGACAACTTGATATCAACATTACTCTTTCCTACGATAATGCAAGTCTCGTGATGTCTCAGATAAACCTTTCCTAGATCACTCTGAGTGTAATTTTCAAATACCTTTTTACGAAGACAAACATTAAAGGAGACACCTGAATCTACTATCCAAGATTCATGCTTACTAGGGATAAAACCATGGAGTCACTTTAGATTTCACCGATGGAGACATTTGTAGAGATATTCATTTTTGGTCCTCCACCACTAACTTTCCCTGGAGCTTTGCAGCTCCTCTGAAAGCAAAGCTCCTCTGAAATTGTTGTTCCTTACCGCAGCTCCAACATTCTCCTCTTGACTTGGGCTTTCCTCTCTCGAACTTGAACCTGCCTCTGTTTGTATTCATGTATAGTTTCCTCCCTCTATTATCAACATTCAACGCAGAACCTGAAGATTCATCATTCGTTATTTTTCTGCGAACTTTTTCATTCAACATCCGACACACAATGTCATCGAAGTTCAATTTCGAATTCTTTGAAGAATTGCTCACCGTCGTGATCAAACCATCTCAGCTGTCTGATAATGAAGATAGTACCACCAGTGCTCTAAGCTCATCATCAAATTTGATCCCCACATTACACAACTGGTTTGTCACAATATTGAAATTATTTAGATGTTCTGTCATAGAACTGTCTTCGATCATCTTCATATTAAATAACTTCTTAATCAGAAAAATCTTATTTGGAGTAGAACGTTTTTCATACAACTTGGTTGATGTCGTAATGAAATCCACCTTAGTTTTCTTGTTTTCAATATTGAACAAAATAAATAAGGAGAGTGACAACCAGATCAAATTTAGTGAGGTTTGATTCAACACTTCTCATTCCTCTAT